TGGGATGACTTGGGATGACTAAGGAAAACAAAAGACGACTAGGGACGACTGGGATGACTGGGATGACTAGGGATGACTGGGATGACTAGGGATGACTGGGATGACTAGGGATGACTAGGGATGACTAAGGATGACTAGGGATGACTAGGAATGACTAGGGATGACTAAAGATGATTAGGGCGACTTGGGTTGACTAGGGATGACAAGGGATGACTAGGGATGACTGGGATGACTAGGGATGACTAAGGATGACAAGGGATGACTGGGATGACTAGGGATGACTAGGGATGACTGGGATGAAGGGATGACTAGGGATGACTAGGGAAGAGTGGGAAGACTAGGGATGACTAGAAATGACTAAGGATGACTAGGGATGACTGGGATGACTAGGGATGACTAGGGATGACTAGGGACGACTAAGGATGACTGGGATGACTAGGGATAACTAGGGATGACTAGGGATGACTAGGGATGACTGGGATGACTAGGATGACGAGGGATGACTAGGGATAACTAGGGATGAGTAGGATGACTAGCAATGACTAAGGATAACTCAGATGATTAGGGATGACTACAGATGACTAGGGATGACTAGGGATGACTGGGATCACTAGGGATGACTGGGATGACTAGGGATGACTAGGGATGACTAAGGATGACTAGGGATGACTAGGAATGACAAGAATGGTAAGGGATGACCAGGGATGACTGGGATGACTAGGATGACTAGGGATGACTAGGGATAACTAGGGATGACTAGGATGACTAGCAATGACTAGGGATGAATGAGATGATTAGGGATGACTACACATGACTAGGGATGACTAGGGATGACTGGGATGACTAGGGATGACTAGGGATGACTAGGGATGACTGGGATGACAGGGATAACTAAGGATGACTGGAATGACTAGGGATGACTAGGGATGACTAGAATCACAAAGATGGTTAGGGAAGACTAGGGATGACTAGGGATGACTAAGGAAGAGTGGGAAGACTAGGGATGACTAAGGATAACTAGGGATGACTGGGACGACTAGGGATGACTAGGGATGACTAGGGATGACTAGGGATGACTGGGACGACTAGGAATAACCAGGGATGACTAGGGATGACTAGGGATGACTACGGATAACTAAGGATGACTAGGATGACTAGGAATGACTAGGGATGACTAAGGATGACTAGGGTCGACTGGGATGACTGGGATGACTACCGATGACTACGCATGACTACCGATGACTAGGCATGACTGACATGACTAGGGATGACTAGGATAACAACAATGGTTAGGGATGACCAGGGATGACTGGGATGACTACGGATGACTAGGGAAGACTGGAATGACTAGGGATGACTAGGGATGACTAGGGATGACTAAGGATGACTGGGATGACAGGGAAAACTAGGGATGACTGGGATGACTACGGGTGACTAGGGATGACTAGGATGACAACGATGGTTAGGGAAGACTAGGGATGACTACAGATGACTACGGATGACTAGGGATGACTGGGATGACTGGGATGACTAGGGATGACTAGGGATGACTAAGGATGACTGGGATGACTAGGGATAACTAGGGATGACAAGGGCTGACTAGGGATGACTGGGATGACTAGGATGACAAGGGATGACTAGGGATAACTAGGGATGACTAGGATGACTAGCAATGACTAGGGATGACTGAGATGATTAGGGATGACTACAGATGACTAGAGATGACAAGGGATGACTGGGATGACTAGGGATGACTGGGATGACTAGGGATGACTAGGGATGACTCAGATGACAGGGATAACTAGGGATGACTGGAATGACTAGGGATCACTAGGGACCACTAGGATCACAAGGATGGTTAGGGAAGACTAGGGATGACTAGGGATGACTAAGGAAGAGTGGGAAAGCTAGGGATGACTAAGGATAACTAGGGATGACTGGGACGACTAGGGATGACTAGGGATGACTAGGGATGACTGGGAAGACTAGGGATAACTAGGGATGACTAGGGATGACTAGGGATAACTAGGGATGACTAGGATGACTAGGAATGACTACGGATGACTAGGGATGACTGAGATGACTAGGGATAACTGGGATGACTAGGGATGACTAGCGATGACTAAGGTTGACTAGGGATGACTAGGGATGACTGGGATGACTAGGGATGACTGGGATGACTAGGGATGACTAGGGATGACTAAGGATGACTAACGATGACTAGGAATGACTAGGGATGACTAGGGATGACTAAAGGTGACTGGGATGACTTGAGATGACTAGGGATGAGAAGGGATGACTAGGGATGACTTGGATGAGGGGGATGACTAGGGATGACTAGGGATGACTAGGGATGACTGGGATGACTAGGGATGACTAAGGATGACTAGGGATGACTGTGGTCACTAGCGATGACTAGGGATGACTAGGGATGACTAGGGATGACTAAAGGTGACTGGGATGACTAGGGATGACTAGGGACGACTAAGGATGACTGGGATGACTGGCATGACTAGGGATGACTGGGATGCCTAGGGATGACTAGGGAGAACAAGGGATGACAAGGGATGACTGGGATGACTGGGTTGACTAGGGATGACTAGGGAAGACTGGGATGACTAGGGATGACTAGGGATGACTAAGGATGACTAGAAATGACTGGGATGACTAGGGATGACTAGGGATGACTAGCGATGACTGGGATGACTACGGATGATTAGGATGACTAGGGATGACTGGGATGACTAGGGATGACTAGGGATGACTAAGGATGACAAGGGATGACTAGGAATAACTAGGAATGACTAGGGATGACTAGGGATGACAGGGATGACTAGGGATAACCTGGATGACGGGGATGACTAGGGATGACTAGGGATTACTACTGGGATGACTAGGGATGACTAGGGATGACTAGGGATCACAAAGGATCACTGGAATGACTAACAGCGGATGACTAGGGATGACCAGGGATGACTAGGGATGACTGGGGATGACCAGGGATTACTAGGGATGACTAGGGATGACTGGGGTGACTAGGGATGACTAGAAATGACTGGGATGACTAGGGATGACTAGGGATGACTAGGGATGACTAGGGATGACTAGGGATGACTAGGGATGACTAGGGATGACTGGGATGACTGGGATGACTAGGGATGACTGGGATGACTAGGGATGACTAGGGATGACTGGGATGACTAGGGATGACTAGGGATGACTAGGGATGACTAGGAATGACTAGGGATGACTAGGGATGACTGGGATGACTAGGGATGACTGGGATGACTAGGGATGACTAGGGATGACTAGGGATGACTAGGGATGACTAGGGATGACTAGGGATGACTAGGGATGACTGGGATGACTAGGGATGACTGGGATGACTAGGGATGACTAGGGATGACTGGGATGACTAGGGATGACTAGGGATGACTAGGGATGACTAGGGATGACTAGGGATGACTAGGGATGACTAGGATAACAGGGATGGCTAGGGATAACTATGGACAACTAGGGATGACTAGAGATGACTAGGGATGACTGGGATGACTAGGGATGACTAGGGATGACTAGGGATGACTAGGGATGAGTAGGGTGACTAGGATAACAGGGATGGCTAGGGATGACTATGGACAACTAGGGATGACTAGTATGATAACAGATGACTGAGACTAAGGATGACTAGGGATAAGTGCAATGACTAGGGATGACTAGAATGACAACGGATGACTAGGGATGACCAGGGATGATTAGGGATGACTGGGATGACTGGAATGACCAAGGATGACTAGAAATGACTGGGGTGACTGGGATGTCTAGGATGACTAGGGATGACTAGGGATAAGCAGCAATGACTAGGATGACAGGGATCGCTAGGGATGACTAGGGATGACAAGAATGACTAGGGATGAGCTGGCTGACTAAGGATGACTAGGGATGACTGGGATGAATACGTATGACTAGGATGACTAGGGATGACCAGGGATGACTAGGGATGACTAGGGACTACTAGGGTTTAATGGGCTCACTAGGTATGACTGGGATGACTAGGGATAACTAGGGATGACTGGGATGACTAAGGATGGCTAGGGATGACTAGGGCTGACTAGTGATGACTGGGATGACTAGGGATAACTGGGATGACAGGGATGACTAGGGACGACTAGGGATGACTAGGGATGACTAGGATGACAAGAATGGTGAGGGATGACCAGGGATGACTAGGGATGACTGGGATGACTAGGGGTGACTAGGGATGACTAGGATGACAAGGGAAGACTAGGGATGAATACGTATGACTAGGATGACTAGGGATGACCAGGGATGACTTGGGATGACTAGGGACTACTAGGGTTTAATGGGCTCACTAGGTATGACTGGGATGACTAGGGATAACTAGGGATGACTGGGATGACTAAGGATGGCTAGGGATGACTAGGGATGACTGGGATGACTAGGGATGACTAGGGATGACTAGGGATGACTAGGATGACTGGGATGACTAGGGATGACTAGGGATGACTAAGGATGACTGGGATGACTAGGGATGACTAGGGATGACTAGGGATGACTAGGGATGACTGGGATGACTGGGATGACTAGGGATGACTAGGGATGACTAGGGATGACTAGGGATGACTAAGGATGACTGGGATGACTGGGATGACTAGGGATGACTAGGGATGACTAGGGATGACTAGGGATGACTAGGGATGACTAGGGATGACTGGGATGACTAGGGATGACTAGGGATGACTTGGGATGACTGGGATGACTAGGGATGACTAGGGATGACTAGGGATGACTAGGGATGACTAGGGATGACTAGGGATGACTGGGATGACTAGGGATGACTGGGATGACTAGGGATGACTGGGATGACTAGGGATGACTAGGGATGACTGGGATGACTAGGGATGACTGGGATGACTAGGGATGACTAGGGATGACTGGGATGACTAGGGATGACTGGGGATGACTAGGGATGACTGGGATGACTAGGGATGACTGGGATGACTGGGATGACTAGGGATGACTAGGGATGACTAGGGATGACTAGGGATGACTAGGGATGACTAGGGATGACTAGGGATGACTAGGGATGACTGGGATGACTAGGGATGACTAGGGATGACTAGGGAAGACTAGGGATGACTAGGGATGACTAGGGATGACTAGGGATGACTAGGGATGACTAAGGATGACTTAGGATGCCTAGGGATGACGAGGGATGACTAGGGATGACGAGGGATGACTAAGGATGAATAGGGATGACTAGGAATGACTAGAGATGACAAGGGATGACTAGAGATGACTAGGGATGACTAGGGATGACTAGGGATGACTAGGGATAAACAGGGATGACTAGGGATGACTAGGGATGACTAGAAATGACGAGGGATGACTAGGAATGACTGGAGATGACTACATATGACTAGGGATGAATAGAAATGACTAGGGAAGACTAGGGATGACTAGGGATGACTAGGGATGACTAGAAATGACTAGGGATGACTAGGGATGACTGGGATGACTGGGATGACTAGGGATGACTAGGGATGACTAGGGATGACTGGGATGACGAAGAATGACTAGGGATAACTAGGGATGACTGGGATGACTAGGGATGATAAAGGATGCCAAGGGATGACTAGGGATAACTAGGGATGACTAGGCATGACTAGGGATGACCGGGATCACTAGGATGAATAGGGATGACTAGAGATGACTAGGGATTACTGTTTTGACTAGGAATGACTAGGAATGACTAGCGATAACTGGGATCACTGGGGATGACTGGGATGACTAGGGATGATTCGGATGACTAGGAATGACTTGGATGACTAGGGATCACTAGGATGACTAGGGATGAGTAGCGATGACTCGGGATGACAAGGGAAGACTAGGGCCGACTAGGGATGACTGGGATGACTGGGATGACTAGGAATGACTAGATATGACTAGGGATGACTAGGGATAACTAGGGATGACTGGGATGACTAGGGATGACAAGGGATGACTAGGGATGACTAGGGATGACTAGGGATGACTGGGATGACTAGGGATGACTAGGGATGACTAGGGATGACTGGGATGACTAGGGATGACTAGGGATGACTAGGGATGACTGGGATGACTAGGGATGACTAGGGATGACTAGGGATGACTAGGGATGACTAGGGATGACTAGGGATGACTAGGGATGACTGGGATGACTAGGGATGACTGGGATGACTAGGGATGACTAGGGATGACTAGGGATGACTAGGGATGACTAGGGATGACTAGGGATGACTAGGGATGACTAGGGATGACTAGGGATGACTGGGATGACAAGGGATGACTAGGGATGACTAGGGATGACTAGGGATGACTAGGGATGACTAGGGATGACTGGGATGACTAAGGAAGACTAGGGATGACTATGGATGACTGGGATGTCTAAGGATGACTGGGATGACTAGAGATGACTAGGGATGACTAGGGATGACTGAGATGACTAGGGATGACTCGGGATGACTAGGGATGACTAGGGACGACTAGGAATGACTGGGATGACTAGGGATGACCAGGGATGACTAGGGATGACTGGGATGACTAGGGATGACTAGGGATGACTAGGGATGACTAGGGATGACTGGGATGACTAGGGATGACTAGGGATGACTAGGGATGACTGGGATGACTAGGGATGACTAGGGATGACTAAGAATGACTAGGGATGACAAGGGATGACTGGGATGACTAGGAATGAGTGGGATGACTAGGGATGACTAGGGATGACTGGGATGACTAGGGATGACTAGGGATGACTGGGATGACTAGGGATGACTAGGGATGACTAGGGATGACTAGGGATGACTAAGGATGACTGGGACGACTAGGGATGACTAAGGATGACTAGGGATGACTAGCGATGACTGGGATGACTAAGAATGACTAGGGATGGCTAGTGACGACTGGGATGACTAGGGAGGACTAGGGATGACTGGAATGACTAGGGATGACTAGGGATGACTAAGGATGACTGCGGTGACTAGGGATGACTAAGGATGACTAGGGATGACTAGGGATGACTGGGATGACTAGGGATGACTAGGGATGACTAGGGATGACTAGGGATGACTAGGGATGACTAGGGATGACTAGGGATGACTAGGGATGACTAGGGATGACTAGGGATGACTAGGGATGACTAGGGATGACTGGGATGACTAGGGATGACTAGGGATGACTAGGGATGACTAGGGATGACTAGGGATGACTAGGGATGACTGGGATGACTAGGGATGACTAAGGATGACTGGGATGACTAGGGATGACTAGGGATGACTAGGGATGACTGGGATGACTAGGGATGACTAGGGATGACTAGGGATGACTAGGGATGACTAGGGATGACTGGGATGACTAGGGATGACTAGGGATGACTAGGGATGACTAGGGATGACTGGGATGACTAAGGATGACTAGGGATGACTAGGATGAGTAGGGATGACTAGGGATGACTAGGGATGACAGGGATGACTAGGGATGACTGGGATGACTAGGGATGACTAGGGATGACTGGGATGACCAGGGATCACTGGGATGACTGTGATGACTGAGGATGACTAAGGATGACTAGGGATGACTAAGGATGAATACGAATGACTAAGGATCACTAGCGATGACTGTGATGATTGAGGATGACTAGGGATGACTAGGGATGACTTGGATGGCTAGGGATGACTGGGATGACTAATGATCACTAGGGATGTATGTGATGACTGACTATGACTAGGGATGACTAGTGATGACTAAGGATCACTAAGGATGACTAGGGATGACTGGGATAACTAGGGATGACTAGGGATGACTGGGATGACAAGGGATGACTAGGGATGAGTGGGATGACAAGGGATGACTGGTATGACTAGGGATGACTAGGGATGAGTGGGATGACTAGGGATGACTAGGGATGAGTGGGATGATTAGGGATGACCAGGATGACTAGGGATCACTAGGATGACTAGGGATCACTGGGATGACAAGGGATGACTGGGATAACTGGGATGACTAAAGATCACTAGGGATGACTGGGATGACAAAGGATGACTAGGGATGACTAGGGATGACTAGGGATGACTAGGGATGACTAGGGATGACTAGGGATGACTAGGGATGACCAGGGATGACTAGGGATGACTAGGGATGACTGGGATGACTAGGGATGACTAGGGATGACTAAGGATGACCAGGGATGACTAGGGATGACTAGGGATGACTAGGGATGACTAGGGATGACTAGGGATGACTAGGGATGACTAGGGATGACTGCGATGACTAGGGATGACTGGGATGACTACAGATGACTAGGGATGATGGGGATGACTGCGATGACTAGGGATGACTAGGGATGACTAGGGATGACTGGGATGACTAGGGATGACTAGGGATGACTAGGGATGACAGGGATGACTAGGGATGACTAGGGATGACTGGGATGACTAGGGATGACTAGGGATGACTAGGGATGACTAGGGATGACTAGGGATGACTGGGATGACTAGGGATGACTAGGGATGACTAGGAATGACTAGGGATGACTAGGGATGACTAGGGATGACTAGGGATGACTGGGATGACTGGGATGAATAAGGATGACTGGGATGACTACGGATGACTAGGGATGACTAAGGATGACTAGGGATGACTGGGATGACTAGGGATGACTAGGGACGACTGGGATGACTGAGGATGACTAGGGATGACTAGGATGACTGGGATGACTAAGGATGACTGGGATGAGTAGGGATGACTAGGGATGACTGAGATGACTGAGGATGACTAGGGATGACTAGGGATGACTGGGATGACTACGGATGACTACGGATTACTAGGGTTACTAGGGATGACTAGGGATGACTAGGGATGACTGGGATGACTACGGAAGGCAAGGGATGACTAGGGATAACTGCGATGAGTAGGGATGCCTACGGATGCCTACGGATGACTAGGGATGACTGGGATGACTAGGGATGACTAGGGATGACTGGGATGACTAGGGATGACTGGGATGACTAGGGATGACTAGGGATGACTAGGGATGACTGGGATGACTAGGGATGACTAGGGATGACTGGGATGACTAGGGATGACTGGGATGACTGGGATGACTAGGGATGACTAGGGATGACTGGGATGACTAGGGATGACTAGGGATGACTAAGGATGACTGGGATGACTAGGGATGACTAGGGATGACTAAGGATGACTAGGGATGACTAGGGATGACTAGGGATGACTAGGGATGACTAGGGATGACTAGGGATGACTAGGGATGACTAGGGATGACTAGGGATGACTAGGGATGACTGAGATGACTAGGGATGACTAAGGATGACTAGGGATGACTAAGGATGACTGGGATGACTAGGGATGACTAGGAATGACTAGGGATGACTGGGATAACAAGGGATGACTAGGAGGACTGGGATGACTGGGGATGACTAAGGATGACTAGGGATGACTAGGGATGACTAAGGATGACTAGGGATGACTAGGGATGACTGGGATGACTAGGGAATGTTAGGGATGACTAGGGATGACTGGGGATGAGTAGGGATGACGGGGATTAGTGGGATGACTAAGGATGACAAGGGATGAATAGGGATGACTGGGATGACCAGGGATGACTAGGGATGACGAGTGATGACTAGAGATGACTAGGGATGACTGGGATGACTAGGGATGACTGGGGACTAGGGATGACTAGGTATGCCTGGGATCACTAGGGATGACTAGGGATGACTAGGGATGACTGGGATGACTAGGGATGACTAGGGATGACTAGGGATGACTAGGGATGACTAGGGATGACAAGGGATGACTAGGGATTACTGGGATGACTGGGATGACTAGGGATGACTAGATATGACTAGGGATAACTAGGGATGACTGGAAAGACTAGGGATGACTAGGGATGACAGAGATGACTAGGGATGACTAGGGATGACTAGGGATGACTGGGATGACTAAGGATGACTAGGGGTGACTATGGATGACTGGGATGACTAAGGATGACTGGGATGACTAGGGATGACTAGGGATGATTGAGATGACTAGGGAAAACTAGGGACGACAAGGGATGACTAGGGATAACTGCGATGACTAAGGATGACTAGGGATGACTGGGATGACTAGGGATGACTAGGGATGACTAGGGATTACTGGGGTTACTAGGGATGACTAGGGATGACTGGTAAGACTACGGAAGGGTAGGGATGACTAGGGATGACTGGGATGACTAGGGATGACTAGGGATGACTGGGATGACTACGGATGACTAGGGATGACTAGGGATGACTGGGATGACTAGGGATGACTAGGGATGACTAGGGATGACTAGGGATGACTAGGGATGACTAGGGATGACTAGGGATGACTGGGATGACTAGGGATGACTAGGGATGACTAGGGATGACTAGGGATGACTAGGGATGACTAGGATGACTGGGATGACTAAGGATGACTGGGATGACTAGGGATGACTAGGGATGACTAGGGATGACTAGGGATGACTAGGGATGACTAGGGATGACTAGGGATGACTAGGGATGACTAGGGATGACTAGGGATGACTGGGATGACTAGGGATGACTGGGATGACTAGGGATGACTAGCGATGACTAGGGATGACTAGGGATGACTGGGATGACTAGGGATGACTAGGGATGACTAGGGATGAATAGGATGACTAGGGATGACTGGGATGACTAGGGATGACAGGGATGACTAGGGATGACTAGGGATGACTGGGATGACTAGGGATGACTAGGGATGACTAGGGATGACTAGGGATGACTAGGATGACTAGGGATGACTAGGGATGACTAGGGATGACTAGGGATGACTAGGGATGACTGGGATGACTAGGGATGACTAGGGATGACTAGGGATGACTAGGGATGACTAGGGATGACTGGGATGACTAGGGATGACTAGGGATGACTAGGGATGACTAGGGATGACTAGGGATGACTAGGGATAACTAGGGATGACTAGGGATGACTGGGATGACTAGGGATGACTAGGGATGACTAGGGATGACTAGGATGACTGGGATGACTAGGGATGACTAGGGATGACTAGGGATGACTGGGATGACTAGGGATGACTAGGGATGACTAGGGATGACTAGGGATGACTAGGGATCACTAGGGATCACTAGGGATGACTGGGATGACTAGGGATGACTAAGATGACTGGGGATGTCTAAGATGACTAGGGATGACTAGGGATGACCAGGGATACCTGGGATGACTGGGGATGACTTGGGATGACTGGGATGACTACGGATCACTAGGGATGACTGGGATGACTAGGGATGACTAGGGATGACAGGGATGACAAGGGATGACTAGGGATGACTGGGATGACTAGGGATGACTAGGGATGACTAGGGATGACTAGGGATGACTGGAATGACTAGGGATGACTAGGGATGACAGGGATGACTAGGGATGACCAGGGATGACTAGGGATGACTAGGGATGACTAGGGATGACTGGGATGACTAGGGATGACTAGGGATGACTAGGGATGACTAGGGATGACTAGGGATGACTAGGGATGACTGGGATGACTAGGGATGACTAGGGATGACTAGGGATGATTAGGGATGACTAGGGATGACCAGGGATGACTAGGGATGAGGGGATGACCAGGGATGACTAGGGATGACTTGGGATGACTAGGGATGACTAGGGATGACTAGGGATGACTAGGGATGACTAGGATGACTAGGGATGACTGGGATGACTAGGGATGACTAGGGATGACTAGGGATGACTAGGATGACTAGGATGACTAGGGATGACTGGGATGACTAGGGATGACTGGGATGACTAGGGATGACTGGGATGACTAGGGATGACTAGGGATGACAAAGGATGACTAGGGATGACTGGGATGACTAGGGATGACTAGGGATGACTAGGGATGACTAGGGATGACTAGGGATGACTAGGGATGACTAGGGATGACTAGGGATGACTAGGGATGACTGGGATGACTGGGATGACTAGGGATGACTGGGATGACTAGGGATGACTGGGATGACTAGGGATGACTAGGGATGACTAGGGATGACTGGGATGACTAGGGATGACTAGGGATGACTAGGGATGACTGCGATGACTAGGGATGACTGGGATGACTACAGATGACTAGGGATGATGGGGATGACTGCGATGACTAGGGATGACTAGGGATGACTAGGGATGACTGGGATGACTAGGGATGACTAGGGATGATCAGGTTTGACAGGGATGAGTAGGGATGACTAGGGATGACTGGGATGACTAGGGATGACTAGGGATGACTGGGATGACTAGGGATGACTAGGGATGACTAGGGATGACTAAGGATGACTAGGGATGACTGGGATGACTAGGGATGACTAGGGATGACTGGGATGACTAGGGATGACTAGGGATGACTAGGATGACTAGGGATGACTAGGGATGACTAGGGATGACTGGGATGACTAGGGATGACCAGGGATGACTAGGGATGACTAGGAATGACTGGGATGACTAGGGATGAGTAAAGATGACTGGGATGACTAGGGATGACTACGGATGACTAGGGATTACTCGGACGACTGGGATGGCTAGGGATGTCTAGGGATGACTGGGATGACTAGGGATGACTAGGGATGACTAGCGACGACTAGGAGGACTAAGGATGACTAAGGATGACTAGGGATGACTAGGGATGACTAGGGATGACTAGGGATGACTAGGGATGACTAGGGATGACTGGGATGACTAGGGATGACTAGGGATGACTGGGATGACTAGGGATGACTAGGGATGACTAGGGATGACTAGGGATGACTAAGGATGACTGGGATGACTAGGGATGACTAGGATTACTTAAGGATGACAAGGGATGACTAGCGATGACTGGGATGACTAGGGATGACTAAGGATGACTAGGGATGACTGGGATGACTAGGGATGACTAGGGATGACTAGGGATGACTAGGGATGACTAGGGATGACTAGGGATGACTGGGATGACTAGGGATGACTAGGGATGACTAGGGATGACTAGGGATGACTGGGATAACTAGGGATGACTGGGATGACTAGGGATGACTAGGGATGACTGGGATGACTAGGGATGACTAGGGATGACTAGGGATGACTGGGATGACTAAGGATGACTAGGGATGACTAGGGATGACTGGGATGACTAGGGATGACTAGGATGACTAGGGATGACTAAGGATGACTAGGGATGACTAGGGATGACTAGGGATGACTAGGGATGACTAGGGATGACTAGGGATGACTGGGATGACTGGGATGACTAGGGATGACTAGGGATGACTAGGGATGACTAGGGATGACTAGGGATGACTAGGGATGACTGGGATGACTAGGGATGACTAGGGATGACTAGGGATGACTAGGGATGACTGGGATGACTAGGGATGACTAGGGATGACTAGGGATGACTGGGATGACTAGGGATGACTAGGGATGACTAGGGATGACTAGGGATGACTAGGGATAACTGGGATGACTACGGATGACAAGGATGACTAGGGATGAGGAGGAATGACTAGGATGACAGGGATGGCTACGGATTACTAGGGATGAGTAGGGATGCCCAGGGATGACTAGGGATAACTAGGGATGACTGGGATGACTACGGATGACTAGAATGACTAGATAGATAGATAGATAGATAATCTTTATTTATTCACGGTACAAAATTCGTCAGCTTTAAAAATGCCTAATACTAATATAATAAAAATATTTAAATAAAAAAGCTGCTTTCCACGAATGCCGTGCCTTACAGTTCTTTGAGTAATCGTTTAAATTGCCCAAGGGACTCTGCTTCCCTTAAGTTACAAGGAAGACTGTTCCAGTAGGGATGGCTATGGATGACTAGGGATGACCAGGGATGACTAGGATGAAAGGGATGGCTAGGGATGACTAGGAATGACCAGGAATGACTAAGGATGACTAGCGATGAGTGGGAAGACCGGGATGACTAGGGATGACTGAGATGACTAGGGATGACTAGGGATGACTAGAGATGACTGGGATGACTACCGATGCCTAGGATGACTGGGGATGAGCAGGGATGACTAGGATGACAGGGACTGCTATGGATGACTAGGGATGACTAGGGATGACTAAAGATGGCTAGGGATGACAAGGGATGACAAGGGATAACTGGAATGACTGCGTATGACTAGGATGACAGCGGATGACTAGGGATGACCAGGGATGACTAGGGATGACTGGGGATGACCAGGGATTACTAGGGATGACTTGGATGACTAGGATGACAAGGGATGACTAGGGATGGCTACGGTTGACTAGGAATGACTAGGGATGACTGGGATGACTAGGGATGACTGAGATGACTACGGATGACTAGGGATGACTCGGATGACTACGGATGACCAGGGATGAGGGGGATGACTAGGGATGACGGGGATGACTTGGGATGACTAGGGATGACTGGGATGACAACGGATGCCTAGGATGACAACGGATGACTAAGGATGACCAGGAATGACTAGGGATGACTAGGGATGACAGGGATGACTGGGATGACCAGGGATGGCTACGGATGACTAGGGATGACTAGGGATGACTGAGATAACTACGGATGAGTAGACGGATGACTACGGATGACTGGGATGACTACCGATAACTAGGATGACTAGGGATGACTAGGGATGAGCAGGGATGACTAGAATAAGAGGGATGGCTAGGGATGACTAAGGATGACTAGGGATGACTAGGATGACAACGGATGACTAGGGATTACCAGGAATGACTAGGGATGACTGGGATGACTGGGATGACAGGGAGGGCTAGGGATGACTAAGGATGACAAGAATGACTAGCGATGAGTGGGATGACTAGGGATGACTGGGATCACTACGGATGACTAGGATGACTAGGGATTACCAGGGATGACTAGGGATGACTAGGGATGACTGGGATGACTAGGGATGACTGGGATGAGTAGGGATGACTGGGATGACTAAGGATGACTAGGGATGACTAGGGATGACTGGGTTGACTGGGATGACTAGGGATGAGTAGGGATGGCTTGGGATGACTAGGGCTGACTAGGGATGACTGGGATTATTATGGATGAATTGGGATGACTGAGATGACTAGGGATGACTAGGCATGACTGGGATGACTACGGATGATTAGGATGACTGGAAGACTAGGGATGAGCAGGGATAACTAGGATGATAGGGATGGCTAGGAATGGTTAGGGATGACCAGGGATGATTAGGGATGACTAGGATAACATGGATGGCTAGGGATGACTAGGGATGACTAGGATGAGTAGGGATGACTAGGATGACAGGGATGGCTAGGGATGACTAGGGATGAGTAGGAATGACTGGGATGACTAGGGATGACTGGGATGACTAGGGATGACTCTGATGTCCAGGGATGACTAGGGATGACTGGGCTGAACGGGATGACTAGGGATGACAAGGGATGGCTAGGGATGACTACGGATGACTAGGATGACTAGAGATGACTGGGATGACTAGGGATGACTTGGATGACTACGGATGACTAGGATGACTAGGGATGAGTAGGGATAACTGGGATGACTAGGGATGAATTGGGATGCCTGAGATGACTGCGGATTACTAGGGATGACTAATGATGACTTGGATGACTACGTATGACTAGGATGACTAAGGATGACTAGGGATGAGGAGGGATGACTAGGATGGCAGGGATGGCTAGGGATGACCAGGGATGACTAGGGATGACTGGGATGACTTGGATGACTTGGATGACTAGGGATGAGCAGAAATGACTAGAATGACAGGGATGAGTAGGGATGACTGGGATGACTACGCATGACTAGGATGACTAGGATTACAAGGATGGTTAGGGATGGCTAGGGATGACTAGGGATGATTGGGAAGACTGGGATGACTGGGATGACCAGGGATGACTAGGATGACTAGGGATGACTAGGGATGACTGGGATGATTGGGATGACTAGGGATGACTGGGATGACTAGGGATGACTGGGATGACTAGGGATGACTAGAATGACTAGGGATGACTGGGATGACTCGGGATGAATAGATAAAAATTAAAATGTTAAAACTAATAAAAACTATACAATTATACTAAAATTCTCTTGAAAATTAAGAAATTATACTAAAAGTTAATCTTAAAATATGTACTATACAGAGTTATAGTAAAGATGAATAAAATTTTTAAAAATTTAGCCTATTTATAATTACAGAACTATTGAAATAAAAAGAGTTTTTAGCTAAGGCAGTTCTAATCTTTAGGAGGTGTAACATTGTCATTTGCCTCATAATTCGATTGTGGACAGAACTGTTGAAAGTAAAATAGCTTTTAAAGAATTGAGAGCATTGCCCTTTAATGCATCTTTTGACAAGTTCATTAACATGGCTCTTTCGCCTATTTAACAGAGATGACCACTTAAGATAATTCAAAGCTCTGTCACTGTCACTCGTTTTTGAAACAATCTTAGCGGCACGTCTTTGAAGTCTTTCTAGTGAGGAACTGTTGCCAATTCCACGGCAGTTCCACACGGTGTCACAATAATCCATGACAGGAGGAATGCAAGCTGTGTAAATGGAATTAGCACAGTCTGATGTAAGATTCCCCCTAATGCCCCCTAGCATTCTTAGTCGTTTACCAGATCAGGATAATACGTACTTAACATGAGAATTTCAAGAAATATGTTCATCAAATATAACTCCTAAAGACTTGAATTCAAAAACACGATTAACAGCTTGGCCCCTAAACGTTATACCAAAATCTGCGTCAGAAAGCCTAGCATGAGTTCCGAACAACATGGCTTCAGTCTTAACTGCGTTTAAGAAAGGCTGTTATTATAGAGCCACGATCCAATTAGAAAAAGATCTTCATTAAGATTTTCTCGATTGTAGCAGCGAGCTTTCCAGAATACAATAAGACAGTGTCATCAGCATACATTGGCATACTACACTTGCGGGCAACGGTGGATTAATCGTGCACATGGAGCACAAATAACAATGGTCCGAAGATGGATCCTTGGGCCACACCGACACAAATAGATTCAGCGTCTGAGAAAGCTCCCTGGAACCCGACAACTTGAGTTCTACCTTTCAGATAGTCGGTAAACCACTCGTATTCTTGATCTACGATACCCAGGCATAAAGCGTCTTTAATAGCATGGAATGGTTTACCATGTCAAAGGCCTTGCGGAAGTCTATAAAAACAGCTTCAGTCATTTGACTTTGATCAACGTTACGTCTTATTGTATCAGCTAAAGATAACGCCGCAAATTCTGAATAATGCTGTTTCCTGAAACCACACTGGTATGGGCTCAAAATGTTACGCTCTCGTAAATAATCACGTAGTTACACATGAACAGCCCTCTCCAGCAGTTTAGAGACTGTCGGTAAAATTGAAATGGGCCTGTAATTATCGATATCTTCCCGCTTTCCCTTTTTAACCAAGGGAATCACACGTTCTGCGTTTAAGCATCTGGAACTCTACTTTGCCGCAGAGAAGCATTAATGATCGCTGTAAGAGGCTTGGACGAAACTTTTGGTCACTTCAGTGAACTAAACTACTGCACGCTGAAGCCACAGCACTCCTAAGGGAGTCTACCAGGCAAGTTACAGTGTTTGTGAAGTATTTATTAAATGCATTAGCAATTGAACGCTTGTCACTGGAAAGATTGTTCCCGATCTTTATAGTTGGCGACGGTTCGTTGCTATCACTGCGCAAAAGTTTTTTCACTGTTCTCCAGAAAGCCTTACTGTCATGACCATCCTCCTCGATGACGCGTCTGTTATAAGCTTTTTAAGCTTTTTTAATCTTACCAGTGACGCGATTTCTGAAGTAGCGGTATTTTGTTAAGTTCTCTGAGAGGCGTGTTTTCCTTGCTTTCATTAAAAAATAAACACGTTCCCTCATATCACGCTTTAATTCACTGTTTAAACATGGGCAATTGTCTACCCAACGTACGCGTTTATGCATGACGGGCGCGTGCCGATTAGCAATCGAGGTAAAAGCCTTTTGGAAGTAATCTCAGAGATGATTAACACTAGCGCTCCCATGGTCTCCATGGGACTGACGCTTCCCGCGTAGGGCTTAAATCAACACCTTCGAGATCTTCACAAAAATTTACAGGGTCGTAATTTGCATAGTTCCTAAATGTTTTCATTTGAGCTTGCGCCTTTTTCCAGTTCAGTTTTCGGACGCAATAAATCATCTCATGATCCCTAAGACTGGCACTTATAACACCCGAGTCCCTGATATTCTGAGGATTATTCGTTGCTATCAAATCTATCAAGGTACTGGCGTTGGAAGCAATTCGAGTAGGTTCTTTGATTAGTTGTTTAAATTGCAACGTCTTAAAGAAAGCTTTTAGTAGTTTACATTCATGGATGGATGCTCTCTTGGCTGAGAAATCCGCGTTCAGGTCACCAAGTACAATTACTTGTTGTCCAAGTGATACTGCACCATCCAATATATTGTCCAATTTGAGCACAAAATCTTTATCATAGTAATTGGAAGAATTCGGTGGCCTATAAAACGTTCCCAGAAGAAAAATTCGAGACTTTGGAATATGAATTCCAGCCAAAGTCCTTCCACATCAGAAGTTTCAAGGTCGTCTCTCCTAGTCACTATCAAATCGTCTCTGGCATGGATCGCAATTCCACCACCTTTATTCCCTCTATCTTTTCTGAACAAGGTATAACCCGGGATTTCAAATTCCTTATCGGTTATGTCCTCTTTAGCCCAAGTCGCAGTCAAAGCCAATAAATGTGCACTGTAGTTAGGTTTGCGGAACAGGACTCGTAAGTTATCCATTTTCCGACGGAGACTCTGCATGTTGTGGTGGAGGATTTTAAAACCACGGAGCTTCAAAACTTTCTCCAGCTTTGGACGAAGATGGAATTCTTCGGAATCAGAGATGTCCTTTGTAGGCAGTACACTGCAAGGATGACAGCTACCAGATACTTCCAAGTCAGAGCCAAGGCATTTTAGATGGTAGTTTGCAGAACAAGCGAGACTGATTTCGTCTGAGCAGCCCGGACAAACTACTAACGTCTCCAGCTAATAACACCAGCAAGCCAGCAGACATGGACAACCTCGTTACTGATATTGCAGTTGCACATTTCAAAGATGGTGACACATGTGATTCTTCGTCGTACTTTCGCGGCAACGCTTCGTTATTCACTTTCAGGCAGGAGCGAGAGAAGACCAGCTTCACCGCCATTATGCTAATTACAATTCCATAGGATTGAATGGGATGCATGGGATGTCTGGGATGACAAGGGATGACTAAGGATGACTGGGATGACTAGGGATGACTAATGTTGACGAGGATGAATGGAATAACTAGGGATGACTGGGATGTCTGGAATGACTAGATATGAGTAACGATGTTTAGAAAGACTGGGATGACTATCGATGACTATCAATGACTACGGATGACTAGGATGACTGGGATCATTAGAGATGACTGGAATAACTGGAACCAACAAGGATGACTGGGATGACTAAGAATGACTTGGATGACAAGGAATGACTAGGATGACTGGAATGACTGGGATCATGAGAATGACTGGAGATGACTAGGGATGACCAGGGACGACTAGGGATGACTGGGATGACCAGGGATGACTGGAATGATCGGGGATGACTGGGATGACCAGGATGACTAGGCATGACTTGAGATAACTAGGGATGACTGGGGTGACTAGGGATGACTGGGATGATCCCGGATGAATAGGATATTTGGGATGACTGGGACGACTAGGATGACTAGAGATGACTGGGATGACCAGAGATGACTATGGATGACGATGGATGATCAGGGAAAACTAGGGATGATAGGGATGGCTTAGGATGAATGACTGGGATGACTTGAAATGACTGGGAAGACTGGGATAACCAGGGTGACTGTTTTTTGGTATATTTTTGCTTATTAGGTCTCTGTGCAGCATATTTGTTCGGGGAACTTTACCATTAATAATTATTTGATTTTAACGGGGGTAGCAGGGGGATTTGGTTAATTGGGTATGCCTCTGAAAAAATCTCGCCTAAGTTCCTAACAAGCATTGAAACAATAGAGTTTTGTAAGAGCCTTGTGACAGCAGGGTTTTTATTATTCCTTTTTTTATATTCAATAAAATTAAACTGACTGGATTAAATCCACCTGGCCTTTCATAAATTTTTCCCTATGTTTTAAGAAAATCCAGTCCGAAAAATCTTAAAACTTAGAGGCCCAAAACGTTTGCTTCAGTTACTCGTGCTTAGCACGTCTTTTTTACCTTTCTTGGTCATTTTCATCTCCTAGTCTCTTCAAATGGCCAGCAGCTTTGCCAACGCCCTTTTCAAACTGTTTTGCCCTGCCCGCCAGCCTTCCTAAAGCAGTTGGTGGACCTTTGGTGGTTGAGGGATCCTTTGTATCGCTCTCACTATCAAGTACAAGCATAAAGGCATCTGGCGATAGAGCCTCACCCGCTCGCACTAGGGAAGCTCTCTTCATACGCACTGTACTTGCATCATCACTGGCTCGTGCCTGGAAAAAGGCGAAGTGTTATCTCTTACTCAGCAGTGAAGTATTACGAACCAAAATTTCACAATAACTCTCCTAGGTGCCGATGCTAATGGAACAAGAACGTGTTAATTTTAGACATCTTAAACGGGGTTGTACTCTTTTGAGCTCTTTAAATTCCATTATTTTCCATGACTTTTTCCATGACCTTTACAAGTTTTCCATGACCTCAGGTTTAGTTGTCACGTTCAAAATGTTTCACAATTTTCCTA